TTGCATATTAACTAGATTATGTCAATTTGGCATATCCAAACCTAAATGTACTAAAAACATTTATGATATACAAATAAAAGTATTAAAAAATCTCAATACATGACTATTTCTTCAGATTTCTCTAAACAAAGTAAAGAAATAGCAATGAAAATTTATAAAATTCATTAAAGCTTGTGAATTCTATCTTTAATGGCAAGTTCAATGAAAACAAATCAACACTTATACTTTGTTTTGTTTTTGTGACAAAATGTTTTTTTTTTCCTTTTAATTATTAAATTGATTTTTCTATTAATTTTATTCTCTAAATTTATCATCAGTACATTTGTTGTCAGTCAGAAAAAAATGAAAAACGAATATCCAAACAAAATACACATTAGGGCATTGTTCAATTGTAAAACTTAAATTGTTTCTTAATTAAAAAAAAGGGGGGAAATGCAATTATTTTCTTCTCCAAGGTCTTATAATCTGTAAAACTACAGAAATTCTTCTGATTCCTCCTAAAAATTCCTGTTTATAATCTAATGGAAATAATTGTATTTTTCATCAGAGTGGTTAAGTGCTGGTATCATCTGCCAAATGAGCTGGTTTTGATTTTGTCTGCATTGATATTTGTGTGTGTGTGTTCATATATATATATATATATATATATATATATATAAAAAATCTGCATCTACAGTTATGCTTTTATTGCAAGTGTTTCAAAATATTTTCATTTTCATTGATATCTGTAAGTTAGCAGATAAAGAACTCGGTTCTGTTTCTTTTGATTAACATTTATCTTAAATTTTTTTAAATCCTTAAATTAAAGTTTTTCACATCAAAACATCTCATCTCATGTGAATTCTTTGTAAAGATTTTGTGTGAGTAAATGATTTTTTTAGTATAACTCATAAATATTTGCATCTTTTTTGGTATGGACAGAAAATATTTAATATTAGTGAAAAAAAAAATACCTGACAAACATAAAGTGAACTAAAACAAACGATAAATGTACTTTTTATATTTTAATTATGAACATTAAAGAGAGTGATTATTTGAAATATCTTTTTAACTTCATATTAAAGAAATAATAATGAAAAATAACCACTCGGAAAACGATGTCACTCCACAATTATGTCACAGAACTTTGTATTTTATGTATCTACAAAATGATTATATTCAATTTATGTTAATCCTTTCATGTTTAGACAAATAAATTGCATTTACAGAAACTCCTTATTAGTTTACTTTAGCTGAAAATAGCCTTTTCATGTTGCATTGTGTAACTAAAATGAGAATCAAGGAATTATTTAAAATGCATCTAACTTTAATATATTTAGAATAAACAAGTTCCAAGATAATAATTTGTTTCATATCAAAATAATGTCACTTTCATTTTGCAATATCTGCATCTAAGAGGGGAAAAAAAACAATATTACAGAAAAGCCATCGCAATTTAGCATAATTAATTTCTAAATTTATGTAGTATTAATTTAATACTGAAAAATGTAATTGAATTAAATCAACTGATAGGAGATCAAATTAATGACTAAAATGTTGTTTCTAGAAAAAGATAATGAATAATCTATGACTGTAATTGCACAGTTATTTTGATAATCAAATCTAATACCAGGAATATAAAAATATGAATCTATTCTAGTTTAATATTGTTTAAAATTGATTTTGACTATGAAGAATTACATGTATAATAAGAAAGTGATGTCAAATTTACAAAGTTATAGATTAACCAAATTTATCTGAGTGATCAATATCTAAAAATATAGACACACAAAAGATGGTTAAGGCAGCCAAAGGTTAACATTTCTTTAGAATGACTTATGTTATTTCTGTTTCTTGAGCTCTGCATTCCCCATGCATTATTTCATTCATGCACTCCTAAGCATTCTTCCTACTGAAGTTGAGAGTCTACTCATGATTCAATTTAGAATTTACCCAACGTGCTATGATTTTGATTGTTTTTTTTTACCCAACCTCATATGCTAGACATTTTTCAAGATGGTGCAAATTTTTTTTTTTGGGAGAAAGTAATTTCCTTAACTTTCTAACTTATAACAAAGTAACTTTGTGACTAAAGAACAGTCATTTATAAATAGAATTTTTAATAAAGAGTATCAAAAATGCAAAAATCATTAACTGATTTCACAATCCTTTCCAAATTGGGCTCTTGCAATATATATATATATATATATAAAATGCAAATGTTTAAATGATATATTTGTATGAAGCCAAGAAAAATACTCTTAATTAAAACCACCTTTAAAATTTCTATGTTTACTTATAATTATTTCTCTTTAATAACTTTTTAGTCTCTTGTTATCACAAAGATGAATGTCATTATAAATATCTTCTTTCCAACTACTTCAGATTTAGAAGCCAGCCCAATGATTTTTGTTGCCTTATGAACTAACACACTGCCTTGTCACTACATTGCCTAGAAAGTAGTGCAAACAATGGCACACAATTGATATTTGGAATCAAATAAATTTCAACAAACCAACACTTGCTGATAAAAGCTGCAAATCTATGAATTTAAGGTTTTTTCAACTAATTTATTTGAGGGAAAGACTTAATTCTAAATATCATTCAATGTTGTAAATATTATTATCAAAAATAAAATATAGTTTAATGATGATTATTGCACTGACATTTTCTAATTTAATTACTTCACTTATATTTAAATATTTTTCAAGTATATTCTTAGTGAGAAACATTAATAAATGAATTTCTCAACAACTAAGAATTAAGAGCAGTGTACCAACTTAAAAACTAAAAATTCCAACGGGTAATTGGAGTTATTTTCAATGAATTTCAAACTTAAAAACAAAAAAATAAGCTTTTAAAGTAAAATATTTAAAATAAAAATGAAAATCTGATTCATCAACTATCAAAAGACTTAAAACTAGTAACAATATCCTTATTAAATATCATTTTTATTATAGATATTTGAACCCAAAACAATCCCCACCGCTGGTAATTTCTTAAAAAAGTGTTGTTTTTTTATTATTTAACGATTTTGTCTCAAAATAAAAAAAAAATTTAAATTGTAAAAGCCCTGTAATTTTTCAATATCCTTTTAAATTACAAGGACAAAAAAAAGCTTACAAAAAATTGTGATCATTATTTTATGACAAGGCAAGAAAAGACGTTCTAAAAGCTATGAAGTTATTTTAAGTTCATGTGACAATTACACAAAAATTGTTGTCACAACTTTATTTTATCAAAATTGACAGCTGTTTGTATTTCTTTCTATATCAAATGCAGCTGTAGACGAAAAAACGTGTATGTGCATATATACACATGTACAAACAGATAATGTTTAGATGGGAACTTATTCATTCATTAACTAAAAGCAAACAAAAATAATAATTGCTTGATTGTTGATCATAACACAAAATTAACGTTTGCTAAAGAAAATAATTGGAGCAATGCAGAAAACAGTTTTTAATCATTGGGGTGAATTTTAAATCAGGAAAAATAAAAATCTTGTCAGAGCTGGCAAAAGTAAGAAATATATTTTTTTAAATTATTTTAGGACTACAGAGGCAGACTCAAAGTCAGAAACAAAGTTGTTTGTATGTCCACTTGCAAAGGTCAATCAAGTGCAGTACTTTTAAATTCATCACTGTATCAAATTTATTTTAATATTAATTTATATTAAATATATGTTTAGAACTGTGCATCTAAAATTAAACTTCAGATTTCTTCAGCAATTAAAACTATCATGAACTCCAAATTATTTTACTAAGAGCAATGCTTTTTAATACAATTGATCCACTTGTCATAGGTTTCAAACCTAACATCTTGAAATTGAGATGTATACATTTTGTAAGAGAGACAAGTAAAAAATTAGAACTTTACATAGACATGCAAATTTTAATTTCCACTTAATCATTTAGTTAATTAAACAAAAGTTAATACATCATATATCTGGATTTGAACTCTAATGAGTATTTTGTTGATATTTGTAATAAATTTGCTTTAATCTAAAGCTCAAAAGAACAGAAACAAAGAAGCAACCAAGATCAAAAAGACTGAAAGCTTCTACTCTAAGAAATACAAAAAAGATCATTTTAAAAATTGAAAAATGTAGCAAACTTCTTTAAACTAAATATCCTTTTATTGTAAAAATAGGAAATATCTACAAAGAAACTTACATTTTAATGCTACCTCATTTTAAAAAATACATCAATTTTTTTAGTGTATTTGAAATGTTTCCTAATAAGGTTTCATGCCTTATCATTTACAAAACTACAGGATATGACTCAGTTGCAACAAATTTTCTGAGGGTTGCTATAGTTGTACAAATGCATAAGTGAGCATGAAGCATGAAAGACTTTTCAAAAATCTAAATAATAGCAATGAAGCTCAAAGTTGAGCCAGGCTTTTCTGGTATCCTTACACAAAGGGACTTGATCTACCCATAAAAGCTGTGATTTAAATATGAGTATATGGGTAGTAGGCTGAAGAAAGAATCAACACAATAATACATCACCTGGTGAAGTCTGGGGATGCACCTAACATAAATAAACAAAATAATGACAATTGGAATTTTGAAAGATACTCCAAATTATATTTTGGATGAATTTCTTTTAAGCAGCTCAAGTCTGATATTTTTTTTTTTAATCACATGACTTGTCAATCAATAAAACTGTATTCATCTGCAGATTTTTATTCATACTGAAGAACAATAAACTATTTTTGCCTTGGCTCATACTATGAATATCTAATTTTGTCTATCTTTAATAATATTGTATGCAAACAAATATTAAAAAAAACACCATGCAAAAATATTTAAGAACAAGCATATTTTCTTATAATTTTTAAGAAATATAATGAAATACAAATGGTACAGCCACAAATGTAATTCCCCCTCTTATTCATGTTGTTCTTTATATTTTTCACAGTTCAAATGAATATTGACATTGAGCTGCTTATTTTTTTTAATATGTATCCAGCATGCAAAACATTACAAATTATCAAGAACAAGAAGATTGGCTCACCTGGCTGTCTGCATCATCTAAATATTCATCCCCTGGTCGTTGAATCCAATTATATTTGCGTAGTTCAAGTCGCAACCCAATGCGTTCAAACTCAGCATATTGTCTGAGCAAACTACGTGAGCAGCCTTTACAGACAACTACATTTTCGCCGTTATCCATGATCAATGAACCAGGTGGAAATTTGTGATCTTTCAAAAATGGAAACTTTTGAACTTGCAAAGTGCAAACTTTGGTACGTTCAGCACTTCTACTGCACACATAGCAAATGAAATTCTTCATGATATATTTTCTGAGCCACCGATTACTAGTTCCAGGGGTTTTGGAGTTCTCGTAATCTTTCCATTGAATCAACAACATGTGATAGCAAAATTGACATGACATCACAGTTCCTTCATCACTCATTGTGTCTGCTCCAGGGGCAGGATCACGGTTGGCTAGAAAAGGGAAGAATGGACTGGTCTGTCCATTGGGGACTTTGGCATCATGCCTGGCAGGATATGAACATAAAACATGCATATTTGATACAAGACAAGATTCACCACACAGAAAGCAAACTTTTTTGGGTAAATTGCTGACACGCTGCAAAGGATGAGGAATTGAAGCAGCTGTATTGTTTACAATTGTGCTGCTATTAAGGCTGTTATTCAGGGTAGCAAGATTTGGTTTCAAGTCTATGGATGCTCTTCGAGCATCAATTGAAGATGGAAACGGATTGTTGTAGGTTGAGGATGAAGAAATACTCGATCGAATATTAACTTCTCCGTTATTGTGGTTAGTGGACGAAGAACTTATCGGCGTGGCTATGGCAAGTAATCCTTGGGAACCAGTTGGTACCACAGGGACTGGACTACCACTGTTGATCTGAATGTTTAAAGGTTGACTGACATCACCATCAGATGTAGAAAAATTTGAGGCATTACTGGCTTGATATGTATAAGTACCTCTGTTATGGCTCATTGCCAGAGTGAAATGTCTCTGGCTAAGTTTAACATTTTGACTTTCAAACATATGCCACTGGGCAGCTAAATGGTCAAAACAGATCCTGCAGGAGAGGACTGTACCATCTGGGTTTAAAGGGTGAGCCCCTTCAGGACGAGGCAAATCTTGAATGAAAGGAAAATGCATAGAATTGGATCGGCTGTCTTTGGATGGAAGAGTATGAAGGAGCCTGGACGAAGACATATACTGACCACACAAGTAGCATACTTCCTTGTTCGGAGTACTTGGCAGACTTCTCTCGGTACTACGGCTGCTGGTAGTCTCTTTCAAATCAGAGGATTTGTCCTTATTGATACTATAGGTGCGATTTTCAGCTGGGATGTTAGCCATATCCTGCTCTTTCCACTGTTGGTAGAGAGACCGACGGCAGAGGTTACAAACGACAGCAATTCCCTTTTCAGATAAGGGTGACGCGCCAGGTTTCGTTGTTAGTCGTGTGAGGAAAGGAAAATAGGGCTCATCGCCTGATGGTTGTCTACAGGCATAAATGAACCTGCGGGTGATCCACATCTGGACAGTGCCACACGTGAAGCACACATATTTGGACGTGCAAGAAGATGATGTTGTAGAAGTAGGGGGAGCAGAGGTTCGACATTTATCAGCGGTTAACATGTTGCTGTTGTTACTGTGGCCGGAAGATTGCTGTTGTTGTTCGCCATTGTTCATACGGTAGTCCCGTCCACTGGAGCTGTGTCCATTGTTTTTGTGCACAGATAAATCCAAAGCAACCTCTGCTGCGGCAGGGTATGATTCTGCCATGGACATCATACGGGATTTTGTCACCGTAGGGCTGGAAGAATTAAAAGCTGATTCGACCGAACCAGGATTATACTGCAGACCCATCACTTGAGCAATATACTCACCTTGCAGTCGCATCTCAGCGCCAGTAAACTGACCATTGTCAGAACGTTTCAACCAGTAGAGTCTTTTAACACTTGGGGTCTTGTTTCTTTCATGGGTGTCCCACTGCTGGGTAAGGAAGGCGTGGCACACCCGACAGCAGTCCACAGTGCCATCAGCACCGGCCAGTCTTGCTCCTTTAGGTGGTTCATGATCCTCCAGGAATGGAAAGTAAGGTCCCTTGTCCAGGCGAGGTTTGGTATGTAAAACACGACCCGAGTCAGCCCCTAGATTACCGCAAACAAAACACACGGTCCTGCTACCCATTGTTGGTTGGTGTGATAGTTGATAGTTGTGTTGCTCGAACTGGGGGAGAAAAAGGTGGCCGCGACAACAAAACAACACAAGGGAAGGGGTGAAGAGAAAATACACGAGGAGGAGGATGGAGACACAAAGACAAGAGTTTTTAGTAAGGATCCCCAACACTGTAGTATTGCTGCTGCTGCTTGCTGCTGGAGTTGCCTTTCATGTCATTATTATTATTAAAAAGAAGGCCTAGACCCCAGTCCGCTGTAGAAGGCATCCCAATAGTTCTGCACGCCTCCTTACTACAGATGATCTCTCCTTATTTTAAATTCTTTGTCGTCTCCCAATATTTGGGGTCCAAGTTTTTTTTGATGTTCACTATTTCAAAAATGTCTTTCTTTTCTTGAATCTTGCGCCTCTCCTTAATTCACTTGGTTTCTGTGTTGTTTGTTGTAACATCAAACAACGTTTTCACACACCACACACACAACACTAACAGTACACAACTTAGCTAAGGACGGGCCATTTCATTCAAAAAACTGCCGTCCACAGACGAGCAGTGAACAACGAAAAATCAAAATCGGCTGGAGTGGTATGATCGAATGGTTGCTCTGTTTTTTCTCTTTCCTTTTTTGTTGTGATTGTATTATTTTTCACGCAGAGGCAACGACATGCCACAGACAGGCAACCGCCATGTTGGAACATCTGGACTCGCTGCCGCTTCCCAGCATGCAACGCGAGACAAGGCGCGCCGGCCACTGAACGAGGATTACTCATACAACACTGGGCCAAAGGCCCCAGAACGAGCATTAGCTGATGATCGGCGGCTTTCACAGTAACTCCCTTCCTCCTTCGTTAACATCTGTTCGGGGCGCGGGGCGCTCTAGCCATAGCATCTTTATACCCCCTGAAACAGGAGTCAACATTACTTGAAAAAAAAATGACATACACATATACATAGGTAGATACACATATATAATATTTATATGCATACACACACACGTGCATGCTGTGTATCTAATTCTCTTAAGTGTTATACAACTCGGAAATACTTCTGACTTACGACTTAGTTATTTTGTGTTGTCGAGATATGATGAAATAAAAAAGTATTTACTATTTATTTACCTAAATTTAAAAATCGTTGGTAAAATAAATAAACTTGTTTACAGATTTTTTATTTCTTAAATCTTTTCTTAACTCAGATTTTTATTTCTTAAAAATCTTAACTCAGATTTTTCTCACTTTTATGTGCAATAACTAGTGAGTGTATGACTTAAAAAAATAATTATTTAACTTTTAAAATTTTGTTTTCAGTAAAAATGTATAATATAATTAATTAATGAACTTAAATTCTTAGTGTAATAATCGTATTTTTATTTATTTATTTATTTATTTTTATTTATTTATTTTTTTTTTTTTGTCACGATTTTTGGGTGCACTTTTTTTTTTTTAACTCAAAGTGAAAAGCAGTCCACAAACAAACAAGAATTTTTCTAACAGTTTTTGGGAGTCCCATGAACAAAAACAGTTTATGTTAAAAAATGATCATGATATTTCCTGGTTCGATTTTTTTAAATTGTTCGAATCAAAACTGTTGAACTATCTCATCATTAAACTATTTTTTATATAAGCCTAATTATTTGTTTGTTTATTTTATCTATTATGTCCCCTGCCACAAAATAAGTAAAAAAAATATGCAACTTACAAACAACTGATCAGTGATTTTTTTCTTTATTCTTATTTGTCTTTCAACCAAAACATGAAATTTCTTTGTTGCTTAAATTTTTATTTGTTTATCAAAAATTCACTTTGTTTTATTACAATCATTAATTATTTCATTGACATATTTTATGTATATCTGCATGCGTGTTTGTGTGTGCATACGTTTTTCAATGTGTGTACGTACGCACGCACTTGCGTGTATCTGAGTGTGTGTGTGTGTGTGTGTCCTCATTTTTGAAAAACACACTCGGAAATAAAATTAATAAAATAAAATTGCGTCCACATATTCACATTACCAATTGTTAAGTTAAACAATCTTTGTCAATTTCATTTTATTCCACGTTGAATATTATTATTACTTTTTAAAATGTTATCAGATAATTCAGTATTTATTCTTCATTTATTTTCCATTTTATCTTATTTTTTTCTTTAATTTTTAAAATTTATTTTGAATCTACTCTTTCTGCATACGATCTTCAATTTAACTGAAAAAGCATGCTTAACAAGACAAAAAAATGGTAATTTGATATTTTTGTCTTAACGCAATAGACTGCTGTTGGATAAAAATAAAATAGATATCTAAAAATAAATAAATAAAAGATGCAAAATTTTGTAAATTCTTGTGAATAACAGAAAATGCAGAAAACTGTTACAATAATGTTATTTTAAAGTTGTTTCATTTTCATCAGAAGTGGCATTTTTAGAAAAAACATTTTTATTTCCATATATATTGTTAAGATATATCAAATATTCAAGAGTAGTCAAACTATCAATGATATTTCAGGGAAAGGCTGGAACATTGAAATTAAAATAACAAAGATGAGGATACTAGTCAGAATAATTTAGGGAAAAGTAACAATACCTCATCTCAGAACTTTAGAAAACAATTTAAATGTGTCGTTTTTTAGTTATAGAAAATTAATTGTTATGTTTCTTCAACAAAAATAAATACCCTAACTTTTATTTCTTCACATTTTGAAAGTAAATGAAAAGAAAATTTAATATTATTTTTCAATTCTATTGACAAAGCTTATGAATGGTGCTGAAACCTGTTTGCTGTGTCAGCATGAAGTTTGCTTATACTAAATCTTATGATAAAAAACAAATTAATTACCTGATAAATTAGTTGCAGTTAAAAATTCCAATATAATATTCTTCAAGATCAATTTTGGACAGAAAGTAACAAATATTTATGAAAAAATTCAAGTATTAAAGAGTTTATGAAAATAACTTTAAAATTCATTTCAGACATTTACAATATATAATGAACAGTTGTTTTTTTTTAATTTTGTGTCAGTATTAGAAATGAGTTTCTTCAAGTTATAAAAATTGATATAGTTGTTTCCATAAAATTTTTCCATATTTTATCAAATACATTTTATTAATAATACAACTTAAAGACACCTATTAAAATACATCAAAATTACTAGAATTTAATGCATTTTAAGTCCAGCAGAATTTTGGTCAAAAAATGTGATCAGTAAATAACTAGTGACAATTTTCAATAAATATTCAATGGACTTATCTCATTGACCAACTTCAGAGTTTAATAGGATCAGAATGTCTGATAAATCTATTGAATTATTACCAGATATCATATTTATACTCTTCAAAACAAGCATTAAAGAATTCAGATTTCAAATTTGAAATACATATGCTAGACTCATTTAAATATTTAGAAGTAGCTAAAACATACAATTTTTAAAAAAATTTTATTGTCCAATTTTTTTTAAATCTTAAAAAATAAAAATGATCAAATTCATCTTGTGGTAGTGGTATTTTAAAGCTGAAATGATTTTCTGTATATAAACTTTTGATAAATATTTGCAAAGAGATTAATTATACAAATTATAAAAAAGTTAACAATAGATATTTACTATGCTTAGCTTAATCTGGCAAAAGGTCACAAATGTGGAGCACTCAGTGAGTACTGAACTGATGACACACATAGTAATAATTAAATAATACATTACTGGATTAGTTTCCAAACTATTATCTGATGGGGAGAAAACTTAAGTTAATAAAGCTAACGGATGTGTGACAATGATTGATGGAGACATCATGAGTAAGTTTGTATCTATCTCTTGAAATTCATGTTTGAATCTCATAAAGTTCAGTCTTCAAATGAGGAAATTTGTGGAAAATATGGTGGGTAGTGTGTGGTTACCTTATATCAGGGGTCTCAAACTGAAGGACACAAAAGGGGCATCACATGCTGAAGGAGAGGTGCAGCAGGCCTGTCACCAATAGGAGAGGGCATCAACTCCAGCAGTAGGAGGCATGAAGTCCAGAGGGGACCTACTGGTAGAAGCACATTTTCTTGCATTAAAATTAGTTTGCATTGCATTCACAAATGGTGGGGTGTAAAAATATTTGGTAGGGGAGGGGTATCCCACCAAAAGCAAATCAAGTGAGGAATATAATATTGAACAGTTTAGTTGCAATTTATATGCTTGTTTAGCTGCTATTCCTTTTTAATAAAAATGAATGCACATATGATAGTTGAATATGTAAGTACAAAATATGAATGAAAATATGATTCTTTTTTATTGAATTTAGATTTATATGTAAAGTTAAATAGAGTTCTAATTAACTTCATTTGACTGCAAACAGGCAAAAATGTACCTTCTGTGCTCTGTTACAGCACCATGGTGTTGTTGATTGATTATTTCACACTATTTACTCATTGGATGAGTTAGATTCATTTTCTATGGCTTATCAACCCATTGCTGGTTATTTAAAGCCAGAAAATATTTTTAGATTGTAAGAATTTTTTTTTGAGATAATAATGATTTAGTAGTAAAAGTCTTACTACTCAATCCATAGTGGGGAAGAGAAGAGGTGGATTCATACCTATCTGAAGGGTATTTACACATAAGTGTATATAACGAACAAACTGGAATTGGAACTCGACTCTCTGATTAATAATTCTGAGCCATTATGCATTACACCACCTGCACATACTCATTGGGTGAGTGTGTGTTGGTATGGAAGGGGTGAGGGACAAATTTATTAAACTTAGCAATATTAGAGGAAAATATTGGTCATGAAAATGGTTATCTGCAGGCTGCAGAAACCTACGTTATAGTAACATTGTATAACTCCATATATCAAAGAGGCTTTGTGTAAAGGTTGAAAGAAAATGAGAGAGAGAATTAATATATGTAAAATAAATTTTTATATAGCATAATATGTAAAAATTTCAAATAGAGTATATCTGTAAAAGGACAATATGAATAAAGATAAAAGGAAAACTTAACTTAGCTGACCCGTTTTGTCCTCTGAATGACTTTTAAAAAAAAGTCCAAGAGTATAAAGCATGTATGTGTTAAGACATCATAGTCACCTGTGTAAATTGTTGGAGGAAGTATGTATATGTGTTTACTTATTCAGGACTGTGTGGATCATGCATATGATTTGTAATTGCACCTTGACTGCAGCTTCAAAGAATTGATAAAATTAATTTATCTATTCTGAATTTGATTATATACCTCTTTATATGCATATATCTGTTGTTTAGAAATTTCCACTTGGCTTCTGATTGTTTTATGAGGCTATGATATTATATTCTTGTTGAGAACAGATCTTGTCTTTGATTAGCTCACCAGACTATAACATCATCTCCATGATTGAAACATTTTTGATTGGTTCAGGGAAATATGGCTTCATGACCTAGCTTAATTTTTATCTAATTTTAGAAATGGTGAAATGTTTTGTTTTTTTTTCTTTAATCATTCCACCCCAAGCAAAACAATAAAGCCACTAAGATGCAAGGGTTTATGAAAGAATATGAGAAAAAACACTATTAAAGACAGAGAACAATAAAAGAACAAGAATACAAGACAAGATAACGACTGATAATGCATTTCAATTTTTGAATATCAAACTTGACTGCGCTTAAATTCATAAAATTTAGGTACTATAGAGGAAAGTTCATCAGGACAATTACCATGAAAGTATTTATAGAAAAGGCACAGAGAAGCTACATTACAGTAGTGGGAAAGTAACTGAAGCCAAGATGCCAGGTCAGGATTAATAACATTGCAGATTCTTCT